CATCTATTTATGTATATGTACACATAAGTAGGCTTAATAGGCATTGATAGCGCGGAAGGAAACATTTTTATAAAATTAATAAAATATAAAAAAGCTAAAATAACAAAAATTTGCCATTTACAAAAAAGTGTTTTCCGCGGGATTTGAACTCGCACCCAACCCAAACAGCATGTTTGTCAAAATAGCTAAAATAAAGATCGTCGGCGCTACAGCCTACAGCACCACAGCGTCGTTTCTATCAACAATAGTTAAAACCAAAAGCCAGTGTAGCGGCTGGAAATTCAAAAACAATGCAAAGACAAATCAATCGCAACGCGATTCTTAGAATATGCTAGAGCACGCATTTATGTGTACATACATACACACATACAAATGAGCGCGAGTATAAGGCTGGAATGCTTGATGCTATGCGTGCAGACTTACATATATACATACGTATGTATTTGCGTATATGTATTTGAGGGCTATTTAAGAAGAAACAAATTTAAACTTATAAAATTATTCGACTAAGAAAATGAAAAGTATTAAGTGTCATTCAGTCAAGCTCGCACCTTCCCAATAAAATATCTATTTTATAAAAAACGATATATGTATGAAAAAAAATAACATAGTAAAGGTTCGAACCTTCTCTGCTCTAACATTACTTGCATCGCCCGTAGTACCCGCGCCACTGCTTTGCTCGAGCAATCAGTTGCTAAAATAGAATAGCTTAATAAAAGAGCGTCATCAGACAAAACTACAGTAACGGAAAGTCCAGAAATCAATCGAAATTCTAAGAATGTGAGAAATGGCGCGCTTCTGTCTGTACGCATAGAATAGACGATGAGTGTGTGCACAAGCATAGGAAAATAGCGGTGATCTGCTGTTAGCTTGAAGCCGGTATCCAATGTATGGATATAAATATATAATAAAAATCAAGATTGTATAAATTATATATGTATGTAATTTGAATGCAATAGGTATCGATGATTTTCCAATTTTAATGGCATCATGCCGTGTATTTTGCTGGGCACTAGACTTGAAAATTGCACTATATACTCTGGTTGACAGCGTTTGGGCTGTGAATGAGTCTTCTGCAATCGGTATCGCCCGACTGCAACGTTCTTACTTGTTTTAAATAACTACATTATTTACCTTATTTTTTTAAAAAAGGGGAGGAGAGGGAGCATATGCTCACAGTATTGTAGTGTATACAATATATGAAGTTGACATATGCCCAAAATATAAGTAAGAGTATCATGCTCACCACATAGCAACACTTTGTTGCTTTATTTATATTATAACAGCTATACATAAGCGCCGTAATATGATCGGTCACTTATGTATAGACTGACCTGCAGCGTGGGATCTGCAACGTAAGCATTGTTACGTTCTCGTCCACGCCGTAGCTTAAACACCTGAATATATGTATATGCCTTCTGCATGTACATACAAACATATATACACACACATACAACATGCTATTTACCTCTATTCTGCCGCTGCTTTTAGCGACAGAATTCTTTATGTAAACTCTATGTATTTTAGGCTAAGATTTAATTTGAATAAAATACGGAGAACATTCTCTGCTCAACGATCAAACCAAACGGTCAACTTTTATTTAATTACACCGCATCTCCTGTGACTCTCCTTCGACCGCCTTTTGGCGCACACAGTCTTCACTCATGAAACTGCGCGTGGCCTCAGTGTTGACTGTTGTGGTCATCCTCTGACCTCCAATCCTCACCGCCGAGACGATCTTCCCTTCCTTTACCTTCAACGCGTATATGCCTCCCTCCTCTGGGGCTAATTGGCGCCGCTCCTCTCCATGGAAGGGCGCCCTTACCCGTTTCCCGCATCCGTCTGTAGGCAACATTCATGTGTGCTCCACCCTCTTCTTCCGCATCGTCGACAAAACAGTACCTGCGCGTTACGACATTCCCTTGCGAAGTGTCCAACTTGCGCACATCGGTAGAGCACCCGACGCGGATCGAAACCGAATCCGGCATCCTGGGCCATCATGCGGTGCACCGCCTCCGTTGGCGGGGTTGCTGTTGCTGCGACTTGGTCCAGGCCTTGCCGCTCAGCCCGCGGCTCCGGCGCTTGCATACGGAACGGGTTTACAGACTGACTGTCAGTTGGCCCCGTCCAAGGCGCCCTCGAATGGCTCGCACCCGATTTCCTCTCCCAGCTCCTTCTCTGGTTTTGGACGTTCTCATATTCTGTCGCCATTTGAGTCAGCTGTGTCAACTTCGTGAAGTCATGACGCCTCACATACAATCTATATTCGGGGGCCGCGTTTTCATACACCATATGCAGATCTTGCGCCGCGCTGTACCTTGCCTGGCGCATTAACAGCCTGAGCTCAATCAAATTATCTTTAAACCTTTCTCCCTGTCGCTGATGACGTCCGTCTGTCCGTATGTTTGAACGCGTTGTAAGGTTACATTAATTTTCCAGACGGGGTCAGAGTCTCAGTCTGCCCAGGGCCATAACTTACAAGAAATTTATAAGTTAGTGCGGGACAATACAGAGTTAGAGAAATGGGAGAGGGGGAGTTGTTATAGGTTAGGTGACCACGCGGCCTGCACTCGCCGACCACGCCCACGCGTTCGCACGCGGGAGGGCGGCAGCAATCGAGTGCCGCGATCAAGCACACTCTAGATTGCAGGGGTCGGGGTTGCGAAGGCGTGCTGTGGGGAGTTAGTGGGGCCACTACAAATGATAGATCGCGGGTCGAAGAACGACTAGCGTTGCAGCCGGCGTTCACTCACAGACCACGCGATTTTCACTACCCTTCTGGCGAACGGGTCGTAACCACGTTCAAACTACCAGTTAGTGTTGTTTTTGTTTATTGCAGTTAGTATCAAGAGTCAATAAGCTAGATGAACTAACAATAAATGAATACACGACCATTTTTACATGTGCTTACTTTATTATGAGGCTCCCAAGCTTAACCTCAATTCTAATACCAATTTGCCGATTCGATTTTTGCGGACGTCTGCTCACTCCGAGAGCTCAAAACTAACTAAATCTTGCACGCAGCTTTCAATCCCTTTCTGCTGCTGTGCAGATTTCACCACGCGACCAGCAATGCAATTCACCCCTACGAGCTTTCGAGCCGCACGGTTGTATTGCTGATCGCGTGCCCGCCCACTAATTTGAATTTCTTCTTATGTTCTAAAACTAACTGCTATAACACTTATGACTACTTATTAACTACTTAGTGCTATTTTACAAACTAATGCTTATTATACTTATTGCCTAACTTACTCTCTACCAAAATATGACTTCATAATTCAACTCATTATCTATGAACAAAAAATATAAATCGACGACTTCAATTGCGTCACTTCAAAATAAAACAAAACATAGTTCAACCGTTTCCGCTTATTTACTACAAACTAAAATATAATTCCGAATCCAAACTTCTCTCTACTAAAACCAAAATACTGCTACACTTCAGAATATTCAACTTATTCACTACAAACAAAAAATATAATTCCTAATTCAAACTCCTCTCTACTAAAAATGGGTATAATGTAAGGTGGACAAATAGGCCCCCTTATTCGACAGAGAAATGACAACACCCCCCGACGAGTTGACTGTCACCGTGTAGGCGTGCTCGCCTGCCGCGACCCGGAAGCGGGTCACCGTCTGCGCGTTTCCACCTCCCGCCTCAGAAGCTGGATCAGTTCCGCGTTCAATTCGGTACCGGCAGGGTGTACCCTCCAGTCGATAGGGATCAAAGGCAGCATCCTCCCCGATTCTACGTCCTCTTCGCCGACCGCCTCCTCGAGACTCAGCTCCCAGCCGTCCAGCAACTCGGCCATGTCTGCCAATAAACGCGTCTCCTCGCTCGAGTGAGTCTCCGCCGACTCATCCCGCGCTCTTGACCGCTCTCGGGCTTGCTCTCCTTCCGGCGCTGCCGATATGTAGATGAAAACTCGGCGGCATCAAAGCGACAGATGGCTAGTAGGAATGCGGGGCCCGGTTTGCGGTCGGAAACCGGTCGTCCTCGCCGTTGCCGCCGACGACGCCTGCGCTCGGCCGCTTGGCCGTGGTCCGTCGGGCGCTCTGCGCTGGAGTGAGACGCGCACGATAGGCGACGGTTCTCGACCGTGCCCGGCGTGTATTGCAACGTGATCCTGGCGGAGTCCGGCTGATGGTCATTTTCGACGTCCACGCTAGTCCGGCGTCAGGGAAGGGGGCTTGCGGTGCCACTCTCCCCAGGGCTTGCGTCTTCGACCCGGACTGCTTCTTCACACCTCTTCGTTCCTTGCCCACCAGTTCGTGGAAACGCGCTGGCATGTTCCTCTTTGCCCCGCGCCGCGGTCCCCGGGGCGGGGTTGTCGACGAAGGGACAATGCTCCCTGCTGCCGTGCCTCCCCAGCCGGGGTCTCTTCCTCCTCACTCGTCGTCCACGGTGTCGGAGTCGCCCATCTCGACGATGCTCCGTCCTCCGAGCATCTCTGCGCAGCCGACTCCGGGCTACCGGTGGGCGGGGAGGAGATGGTGGCTCCTCCACGAGTGGTGGCGTCGTTCCCCTGGGTACCTGGATGTATACAGTTGTGTACTTGGCCTGTATTAGTTGTATGAGGCCGTCCATCCGGGTTGGCACGTTCATTGTCAAGAGGAGGACCGTATGCATGAGTCAGCGTGGCGCCCGCTCCTCTTGGCGACGGTAGTATTCCCTACCGAGCCTCGGGTTCCTTTGCCGACTTCGCGCCTCTTCCTGGGAGAACGGCTCCGCGCTGTCGCTGCTCGCGTCCTCGACCCGGATCGAGCCCTCGTCATCACTGCTGATCTCGATGACCTCCTCCATCTTCGTACTTCCCTGTAAGTTCAGAACTTTTAGTCTTCTGTTTTTTTGTCCGTGTTAATGACCGAAATGGTCCTCTAACTACTGCGTTAGTGTTAGCGTTAATAGGTGTGTTAACGGGGAAGTTAGTTGTTAACGCGATTGGTCGTGTTTGCCGGGCGCTTCTCCATCATCGTCGGCAAGCGACGCTGGCCGCGCCTCAGCCACTGCTTCTTCGTCCGAGATCACTTCGATCTCCTCCACTCCTACTCGGTGAAATGGTTTCAGCTGCGCTATGTTGGCCACCCTCCTCTTGCGTTCGCCTTCCCTTTTCAGGCACACCACATTGGGAGAGATGAATTTGACGACTTTGCGCTGCGAATCCTTCCGCCGCATTCGACAGCTGATGCTGTCGCAAAAGGACCTCCGAGCCCAGCGCTGGCCTCCAGTCGCGCTGTCTCAAGTTGTAGTGCCTACCTTGATCCCCCGACGCCCGATGCAGGTTGCTGCGCACGATGTCGAAAGCTTCTCTCATTCTGTCTTCTTTAGCCTCGGGCTGGATCTCCTTCGTCGCCGAACCGGGAGTGACTTCGTCGTACAATGCGGCGGGTAGGCGGTTGTCCCGTCCTAACATCAAGAATGCATGAGTGAAACCCGTGGAGTCAGCCACGCTCGAGTTGACCGCTAGCGTTATCTCCGGCAGCAGCTCGTCCCACGAGCTTTGATGGCCTTCGATATATTGAGCTATCATTGTCTTCACGATTCGTTCTTTCCGTCGGGTTCTCCTGCGGCGAATAAGGCGCTGTATACTGGAGTGTCACCTCCAGGGATTCCATGAACGCCTTGAAGCTTCTGCTTGCAAATTGTATGCCGCTGTCGAAGACGAATGTCCTAGGTACTCCAAATCTGCTGAGTATACGTTCCCGGAACGCCAGCTGCAACAACGCTGTGGTGGCTTTCCTCAGTGGCACCAACTCCACCCACTTAGCGAAAGCGCCGTGGAACACCAACAACATTGTTCCCACGCTTGGAACGAGGTAAAGGTCCCACGAAATCTGCGCACAAGACCGCCATTGGCTCCGCCACTTGCCCGGTCAGCATCTGCCCGGCCGGCTTTTGTTGTACGCATTTGAATTTTTACACGTCTCGCAGCGCTTCACGTACTTGGCGGCATCCCGGAACATGCCCGGCCAATAGTACCTCTGCGCGAGTCGTGCAGCCGTTTTCCTGACTCTTTGATGTCCGGCTGTGGGAACGTCGTGGCACTCCCTCATCACTCTGCTCCTCAAACTGCTAGGGACGCAGAGCTTCCATGGGATAAAATCCTCTTCGTCTATCCGATGACCCAAATGCCGATATAGCTGCCGATTCTCCTCCACGTAATCCTGGAACTTCTCAGGCTCCTTCGCAATCCTCTCGCGCATTTTCCGTATCCACCCGCAAAGGGGACCATCTTCCACTGCCTGTTGACAACTGCCTAGGGGTTGCCGGGACAGTGCGTACGTTTAAGCTCCCTCGACGATAACGTATGTCGAATTGATATTGCTGCAACTCTAGTGCCCATCGAGCAATCCTGCCCGTGGGACTTTCTATGGAGTTGAGCCATTTCAATGCCAGGTGATCCGTGACCACGTCGAATCTGTAGCCCTCCAGGTAACAACGCATCTTTCGGATCGCCCAAACGATCGCGAGGCACTCCTTTTCCGTGGCCGAGTAGTTCAGCTCGGCCTTCGATAACTCTCTATCACCCGTTCTTGAGCCTCGACTTCTTGCGTCAACACTGCACCGAGGCCGTAGTCGCTGGCGTCGGCCTGCACCACAAATTTGCCCGAGAAGTCGGGACAGGCCAGGATAGGCGCGGACGTCAAACTCTCCTTGAGCTTCTGCAATGCCTCCTCCTGCTTCTGACCTTTCTTGAGAAGTTTCATCATCGGTTGTACCAGCGACGCGAAATTTGATACGAAGCGTCTGTACCAGGATGGCATCTCTAGGCATTGCCGCAATTCCTTGAGATTCGAAGGCGATGGGAGACTCCGGATCGCCTCGACTTTCGCGGGATCAGTGCAAATCCCCTCGCTGTTTATCATGTGGCCTAGATATGCCAACTTCTCCCGGAAGAAACTGCATTTCTTCCTGTTGACCTTTGCTTGGCCGCCTTCAACAACCGGAAAACTTCCTTCAGGTTGGCTATATGCTGCTCCTTCGTCGCTCCGATGACCACTATGTCATTTAGGTACGCAAACGCGTGAGGCTCCATGTTGGGCCCGATGACTGTATCCAGTGCCCTCTGGAATGTCGCCCCCGCCGAATGCAAACCGAACGGCATCACTCGCCAGTGGAACAGTCCCCTGCCTGGCAAAGTGAACGCCGTGTATTCCCTACTATCCGCCGCCATCGGGATCTGCCAGTAGCCGCTCTTTAGATCCAGCGTGGATATGAACCGTGCGTGTCGCAACCTCTCCAAAATGTGAAGGATCCGCGGAACAGGGTACGCATCCGGGATCGAGTGGGCGTTGAGTTGTCGATAATCTACGCACATGCGCCAATCTCCAGTCTTTTTCTTGACCAAGACTATGGGTGCGCTGTGTGGGCTCTTCGACGGTTCAATAGCCCCAGCTTGAAGTAGCTCGTCCACCTATTCGTCGATCGTTTTCTGCATAGCCGGATTCTTAGGGTAGTACCTTTGCTTCAAAGGCTGGTCGTCCTTCATCCGAATGCTATGTTCAGCAATGTGCGTCACGCCTCTGAGGTCTTCAAATAATGCCAGCTCCGCTTCTAGAAACTCTTGCAGTTCTTCCTCCAACTCATCCGGCCACTCCTTGCTACTGGGCGCGGATCGTTAATTTCCTCCATATTCACTCTCTGATGCTTCTCCCGTCGGCGGGCTGCCTCCGGGGTCACCTTCCTTCTCCAACTCAACTGATCTAAGCTCCGGTGGCCGCTCCTCGGGTCCGTACCTTGAATCCTCGCTCTGCTTCACAGCTCTCGCGGGAGGCCCAGCTCCTTTTTTTGTGATCCAGTGTCTTGTCTCTTCCTCCTTATCGCCGGAAGATCCTCTCCAAGCCCTTCCTTTGGCGTTCCTTTGTTCATTCGCTTCCTCTTGTTTCTGCTTCTCTTCATCCATTTCCTCTCACCTCCCTTCTCGTTGGGCGGCGTGCCCTGACGCACCCTGAACTCCAACTGTCGACACCGCGATCGCCGACCTTGGGTCCTCCTTTGGCGTCGAGGCCTCGCGCAACACCTCTGGGCCCGACTCCTTCGCATCTCCTTTAGCGAGCTGGTCTTGCCCTCTAAAACCGTTGCTGCCTTTCTCCACTCCTTGTCTACTCGACGGCGACGCTCCTTCTACCACGTCGTCCACCATCCTCATCTCCAGCTCTGCGTTGCCGCAACGCACCGTAGTACCGATGGCGCATAGAAAGTCCATGCCGAGGATGACATGGTCCAGCATGGTCAGCATTATTAGCAGGTTCGCTACCGCCGTCTTCCCAGCCAGACTCACATCCGTCTTCATCATCTTCGTCACGTCCAGCGCTGATCCATCGGCCAGACGATTCGCGACTCCGCCTGGCAACGCTCGCCCCGCATCGTCCGTTTGCGCACGCAATCATCGCTGACAAAACTGCGCGTGGCCCCGGTGTAGATCGTGGCGGTCATCCTTTGACCCCCCCACCACCACCGTCGCGGTGATCTTCCACTCTTTTACTCGGAGCGGGTACCTCTCTTCGTCTTCAGTATCTAATCGGCGCCGCTCCATTCCCTTGGAGGGCGCCCCTGGCCGTTTCCCGCGCCGCCCTGTTCGCAACACTCCCTCGCATTCCAGCTCGCTGTCCACAGTGTCGGCAGAGTAACACCGGCGCGCTACGACATTCTCGCGAAAAGTGTCCAAGTTGTCCACATCGATAACAGACCCGACTCGGCCTGGATCCAGCGTCCTGAGCCATCATCCGGGTAGTCGCCGCCGCTGAAGGTGTCGTCGCCGGCGTCCCGCTTTGCCCCCCGGCCTGTCCTCCGGACTGGGGATCAGGCGCGGAAAGGGTTTTTCTGCCGCGCCTCCGCTGACTTGGGCCAGACAGTCTCCACCGTTGTCCTCCTCTCTAGTTCCCTCCGCTGATTCCGCACGTTTTCGAATTCTGCAGCCTTTAGTGTCAACTGTGTAAGGGATGAAAAGTCGTGCCTCCGTACGTATAGCCTATATTCCGGGGATGCGACCAGGAACTCTTTCTTGAATTCCAACCAGGGCACGTCTCTTAGCCCACTGGTTAGGAACCACTTGGCCGCCTTGTCTACCAGCACCTCGCTTAGCGCCCTCGGCATCCGGTCGAGTTCGATCCCGTATGTGATCGCCCGCTCCTCCAGAATTTCAATAAAACCAAGGGGATCCGACCGTTCGTCGTACATCATCCCCCATTTTCGAACCTGCTTAGCTACGCTCCACAGCGGGTGCCTTTCCGGCGGCGGAGAAGGGACAGGAATCCGACGATCTGCCTTCGGTGCCGGTGCGAGCACCTTGTCTTCGTCGCCAAAACAGAATTCCCGCGGCCTCTCATCCCTCCAGCTACCAGTCGTACCACTCGCCGTGGGTACACTCAGCTTCAGCGATGCTGTCGAGAGGGGGTCGCGTTCTTGAGCTTTCCGTAGATCCCGCTCTGACCTCTGATAGGCGCGGCCGCCCATGCTTGTCGCTGCACCTCCCAGAGAGAATTCTGATTCTTTTGCGAAGCACGCCTCCCACTCAACTAGCCGCCCTTTCATTTCCGCCGAATAGTTGCCGCCCTGGATGAGCGACGACAATCTCTTTCTCAGATCCTCCACGCGGCCCTCGTCTTCGAGGCCGAGATCCCGTGCTACAGCTATCAATTCCTCTTTACAGCGCTGGAAGACCCAGCAGACGCTTAGTCCCGAACTGTGGGATGTTCCGCCTTCCATTCGTGATGCCTGGATACTCTGCTTCCTTGTTAGCTTATACTAATATTCTCCACTTGTTTTGCTTACTCAATTTTTATCCACTTATTCTATATTTCGCTCTATTTCGCTCACTTAATCTATTTTCTTCATTTCTTTTCATTTTCATTTCTTCCTTTTTTCTCTTTTTTTTCTATCTCTCTTTTTATACCCTGAACCCATTTTCAATGGGAAATCAGGGTATAATGGTTTTGTTGAAATGTATGTAACAGGCAGAACGATCAGGGCGACGAGCTGAGTTGATTTGGCCCTGTCCGTCTGTCTGTCCGTCTGTCCGTATGTATGAACGCGTCGATTTCAGAAGATATAGGAGCTAGAGACTTCAATTTTTTTTTTAATGTCCGTAATTACAGCGCGCATATCAAGTTTATCATTAAAAATCGTTAACTCATCCCGATCTTTTTTTTATCGATAAAAAACCTTATCGAAAACCAGTTATAAAATTATATCTTCTACACCTTTATTGCTAGAGTCTCCAAATTTGTATGTATGTATGTTTATATGCAATTTATACAATTTCGGTTTTTGTTAAAATTTAACCCCCACCTCTAAATTCACCCCCTCACCATCACTTTTGTAAATACTAGAGACTTATTTCAAATACTAGAGACTTGTGCTTTAGCAATTACATGCATATTCATGTTATAATCATAATCTGAAAGTTTCATGAAGATCGTACGTCCACAAAAAAAGATATTAAGCAATTAAGTTCTCATAGTAAGCGCTCATTGCCGCCCATGCGTGTTTATGCTTGTGTGTGTATATGTATGTAAATGTTTGTTATGTGTGTGTGTGTGTGTGTGTGTGTGTGTGTGTGTGTGTGTGTGTGTATGTGTGTGTGTGTGTGTGTGTGTGTGTGTGTGTGTGTGTGTGTGTGTGTGTGTGTGTTTCTTGTGTAAGCTGAAAGACGCGAAAAATTATTGAAATAGCTATTACTCCAA